CTAGAAAGGGCAGGGATGGTCTTTATTAAACATTTTATAACCGTGATTCACAGATACCTTAGCTCCTCTATATAGGGACCAGGGCAGAAAGACCTTTAGAAGCCCTGTTCGCTACTTAACGGCAGTACTTAAAAACTAGTGTATATTCTCTTCACTCAGAACTATCAGTAGCTGCAGAAATAACCAACTTGAAATGTTAGCAAGTATAGCTAACATTGCCCCATGCTGCTCTTCATCTGGCAATTCCAATGTATTTTTCAAGCATTCCTCTAAAGTCAGAACTGTCCCCACTTTACAAGCGGGTAATTTGAGAGCCTGAGTGCCAGACTGGCCAAGGTTATAAAGAGTAAGATATAAATAAAACTTGAAATCTTGATTCCAACTCTCTTCAACCATCTTTCTGTATATACACACACTCTACTTTCCTTAAAATTGATCCTTAACACTTGATAATAAATTTGGCTTTGACGGATTATCCTAAGTGGTGGATCTGTAGTGCTTCAGTAAAAACTACAGGCTAAGTGATAGCTCAGCCCAATGATAGCCTTTTTAGTCTGCTCATTCAGAAATGATAGGAAATACCACAAATCCCAGATGCCAGGAAGTCTATGGCATTTATATATTTTAATATAACAATTTATTTCAACGTATTTCACTGCCCATATTCATTCTCTCTGGAAAGAGGAGCCACTATTGCCTCGTGCTGCTAGGTGGTTTTAAAAAGCTGTCCTCTCTACGCTGTAACCTAACACTCATTTGCTGATACTCGAGATCTGTTACTAGAGAGTGGAAGTCAGGTCTTCAGAACTCAAGCTACATGTCAATCTTCAATCTCTGGGCCTTCCCCTAAACAAGTGTGATGTGTGGTAATGGCAAAACCCAGAGGTCAGCTCAGCAGATGGAATTACACACCAAATACAAACTCTCTGAAGAGATCTTCCAAGAGAACATATCACTGCCACTCATTCTACTTTTAGATGCTATCCGTATCTCACATATTGCGCTTGATGATTTACACAAATGGACTCATAGACAGGATGTGGACAGAGATCCTGAGTACAGCTGACCTTATGAGCAGAAATGGCAGAGGCGCCCAGGCTCTGGAACAGACTGCTGGGTTCAAATCCTGAGTTGATCCCTTACAGGCTTTGTAATCTTTATTTAAATTCCTTGTGCCTCATGTTCTTCACCTGTCCAATGAGGACCTTGCTCAATAGGATGAAAGGACAAAATGAGATACCACACATGAAGCACTTAGAACAACCAGGCCTGGCAAATAGTAGGTGTTCAATAAATGTCAGCCATTATTATTATTAAATAACATGTGGTGAAAGAAAAGGGAAACATGCTACCTTTATTCTGTATGCTATATTTCTATGCAGCTATTTGATGTTACTCTGATTTGCTTTCCTAACATGAAATTATACCTTTTAAAAACATTTGTTCTTTACAAATTAAGCATACTTAATGATTACTACATAAAAAAACAACCAAAAAAACTGCCATGTCAATGCTCCTTTGGGAAAAAGCCTCAAACTTAAGGTCAAGGCTGCTAGTAGTTCAGGAAGAGCTCAGTCATTCACAGGCCTACACGAAGGTATAAACGAGGCAACTACACTTTGGAAAAGTTTTCCACCCAGTATAAACCCCAACATGAACCTAAAGAAACATGTACTTATTTAAAAATCATCTTCATGGCCTAAAAAGACAAAATTAAATATATATATATATATACATAAACTATTCTGACGTCAGATGAAAGAAAAAATAAAAAATTAAACTGATACAAATGTTAAGTCTGTGTAAGCAGAATCAGCTATTTTCTAAGCATGAGCTGATTACCAGTGAGTGAGGAAAAATTCTTACCTAACTCTATCAGAAAAAAAGAAACATCTATCTACTTGAATTGCTAAAGCAGTAGTAGCAAAATTAAAGAGCAGACATTTGACAAGTACTACTTGGCATAACTTAATTTGAAGCAGAAGGGACTTGGTATTTTGAAAAAAATACACTGCACTAAAAATTAGAAGAGGGATCACTCCAGATCCAAAGGAAGAAAAAACCAAAAAAAGCTATTAACTAAAAGGCAAGATGGAAGACTGTCATCAGGTCAATCTTCCTTAGAAAACAAAACAAAACAATTTCTCCAGGTCCCTCACCTGCCTAAATATCTTTTTTTTTTTTTTTTTTTTTTTTAAAAAA